TTGTGTGTTCCTGTGGTACATGAGAGGATGTGGGACCTGGAAAGAGAGAGCCTGTGTGTGTAATTAGCTTATGTAGTGCTGCCTGCTGCAGCTTCCCTGGGAGAGGCCTTGATGCTACACATAGGGCTTGTGTGTTTGCGTTCTCCGTAATGCATTCCAGCCTAAAAGCTGCAGGAATCTTCCTGCTTTGTGTAGGCTGTGGAAGGTCTGCCTTTGCTCAGAGCAGAGCCCAAAGATACCTCTGCAGCTGTGTGTTTTTGGGGAGCGGTTGGACATAGGGAGGTGTGCGCAGCTGCTGAATTGTACTCCGGAGTGTCTTCAGTGAATTGTAATCAGCCGTTTTCGATCTCCTCCTTTTCAGAAGGCTTGTCAGGTTGGTCTCAGCCTGTCATGGGAAATCATCCAATGCATCAGCAGCTGTCGGACCCAGGCACGTTTTCTCAGCATCAGCCCATGGAGAGAGATGATTCTGGAATAGTGGCTCCCTCGAATATTTTCCACCAACCTATGCCAAATAGTTTTGTGGATTTTTCTAAAGTAAGTTACAGAGGGTTGGATTTAGTCTGAAAATGACCAAGGACTGACTTTGTTATGGCTCCTGTTCTACCTGTGTACACTGTATGTGTGTGTGTGCCTCTTCTACCATTGCTTGCGGCACCTAGTCCTGAACCTCCTTTCTTCCCAGTACTGACTAGAAAAAGTGCCCAAGCCTGGTGGCTCATTTAAACAAAACCAGCAGTTTTAGATTGCAGACGTTCTTTTGTCAAGTTGCTGAATGCCTCCGTTGCTCTCCAGTGTTTCCTTTTCCAGAGGCTCAGTCGCTTGGAAACGTTTCATACGGCTCGCTTAGCTTTTGAGGCTGATTACAGGTTTGCTTAATGCTTTCAGTACAAGTCATGCCCATGGATACTACGTGCCTTTCTTAAGGAAGCGGCAGGATTAGAGGACTGCTTCGAAGTCTGTGCCTTGTATGTTAACGCTGGAAAGTAGCTTGAGGCTGACAGATGTAGTCCAGCCATAGTTGTCAGCTTGGCCACCACTGGAGGAATGTCCAGGATGATGTGCTCAACAGCAGACCTGCTCACAGTGTGTTTCAGAAGTAGCTGTAGCATGTGCTATTGGGATCTTCTAAATTGCAAAGCAGCAATCATCCAGACACAGGAAAGAAATCTCATAATTGCAAAAAGCTGCTCTGTAACTTGCTCTTTTTGAACTGGGAGAATATTTTAGATGGCCATTAGTAATTTATAGAAAATCTTCATCTGAGTCTTGTAGGCTCAGGCTGTACACAGGCTTTGCTGAAGTGCAGCCCCTGGCTGCAGCCGTGTGCACCAAGTTATCGTGTGCCGCAGAGGTGAGAGGAGGGAGCAGAGATTGCTCTGTACAGCTGCTGCGTCAGCCTTTATGGGGTCATCTGAGAGCACTGGGCAGAGGCTGCTGCATACTGGCAAGGTGTAATTTCAGAAAAATGGGTAAACTAACTTGATTCTCAAGCTCTGAAGAGTCTCTGTATTCCATACTCTGCCTAGGTGTGCAGTGATGCCCTGTGTCCTCAAAGCGCTGAGATGTTTGCCAGCAGGTGAACGTTACATATGGATGTGAACTGTCTCTGTCATCTTGGCAAACGTGGCGCTACGGTCATCCTTCACAGTCAGCGCCACCTTCACCGACAGCGCTTTCTCTTGTTCCCCCAGGGCCTGCCCATTTCTATGTACGGCGGCACTCTCATATCCTCGCACCCTCAGCTAGCGGATGGCCCGGGAGGCCCCCTCTTTAACGGGCTCCATACTCCAGACCCTGCCTGGAATCCCATGATCAAAGTTGTCCAGAACTCAACAGAATGTACTGATGCTCAGCAGGTAGTGTGGCTGCCGTTTTCCACCTTTGCTTACCTGGGGCTTTTTATGGTGTCAGGCTTTGTTTTGGTTTTTCTTCATTTTTGGATAGGTGACTTTTTTTTCCGTTCTTTGATACTAGAATCGAGATTGCTTGCATGATTTTCCCCCTACAGAGTGTGTATGTGTGTGTGTGTTTATAAAAAATACACAGTGCTCTCTGTACCAAACCTTCCAAGCAAGATAAGCATCATTTTAAGACCGTTCAGCCAGGTAATTGACTTGGTTCTAAGTGAGAGGGTGTAAATCCATACTCGGCGTCTTGCAGATTGTCAGTCAAACTTTGGCCAGAGCTGAAGAGGACTCCCAGCCTTTGGACAGTTGGTTGTATTTTAGGGGTAAGCCTTAAGCTTGCCCTCTCATGGTTAATCGCTCTGTGAAAGGAACCTTTATTTGTTTTCATAATAGACTTGTCTTTTTATTTCTTGCTGTAGATTTGGCCTGGCACCTGGGCACCTCACATTGGAAACATGCATCTCAAGTACGTCAACTGATTTAAGGGGGTCTGTCATTTTTTAGCCTTGTTTGGGAATCTTTATGATCTTGAAGAACTCTGGGGATTTTCTGTAATGTGCCTAAGCAATTTTATGTGGGCTGTAACAATGGAAACTTGATAGCCCGTTGTATGAGAACAAATTGATTTACCTATACAAACTGATTCTGTTCTGCACTTAGTTTAGCCATTTTGAACTTAAAAATCAGATTAAACTAGTGCTTTTGGCTAAACACTCCTGAATGCTCCTTGTATGCAGCTGAGGACTAGCTGATTACCTGATTTCAACCTTTTAGGGTGGTAAATACATGTCTAATTGTTTACATACTTAAAAGGAAAAGCCGAGTAAATTTCCTAGTGGCTCTACTTCATGTAGCCTGTATTAATGTGAAATATTTACCTGAATATTCAATAAAAGGCAAACAGTATTTATAGGCTGTGTGTGAGAATTCTGGAAGAGGCTGTATGATGATGTCGTTGGTAGCTGCTGCGGTGCCCAGTGATGCATCTTTCCAGGGTCACGTCATTAGCGTGTGGATGCAGTCGGTTTGCGGGGAGGGTTTTGCAGTCATCTTCGATACAAGGTCTGCTGAGTCCTTTCCCCTGCCAGTTGTTAGCCTTGTGGGCTTTTTTGTGTGAACACGCTTGTGCTTTTTTTTTTTTTTTCCTTCTGGATTAGTTCTGCTGCTTCCAGCACTCTTTTTCCAGGTGGGTTGCCTGAGAGATCAGGTTTTGTTCAGGGGCTGCAAATAAGGGCTGAGTTGACAACGTGGCAACTTGATGGCATCTTAATTTGCAGAAGGTGAATAGGTAGCTTGTGGGTAAACACAGGGATTCTTCGCTTGACTCTCTGTGACCAGCTGCTTAGAAGCAGATCTTAGGAAAACAGAGGCTGCTTCCTACTAGAGAAAACGTAATACGTTCCGTTCTGAGCTTCTTGTAACCCTTTAAATCTGGTAAGAGCTCCTCAAGCCCTTTCCATGAGGAAGAAGGGGATTTTTGCCTTAAGATGAACGTTCGTTCTCTACCCAGGTGGAGAAGTTCTCCACTTTCTGCACTTGGACTACGCTTATTTCTGCTTTTGCTCAGTGGCGATGCAGTAACTACACTGAATATTTGGTCCATTCCTCAAGCAGGTAACTACAGTGCATGTAGTGTCCTATCTAATGGACCACTTGTGGTGGTCTCTCAGGCCAGATGGAGACTTCCCCACCTCCTCCAGACAAATCCTTACATGCAGCAGCAGTTTCCCCAGGAAAAGCATGAGGAAGGAGTACTGAAAACGCAAAGTGCACAAGTAATATCTGAGTACTGCAGGCAAACAAACCTCAGAAATGCTACTGGATGATGTATTCAGATATTTTTCCTAGGATTTGAGGAAGAAATGCAGAAAACATTGAACCGCTGCTGCCCCCCTGATAGTGCAAACACCAAAGGAGAAACACTCGTATTAACAAATGGTATCGTAGTGCAATAGGCCTTTGCTCTTAGGGTAGGTGCAGGGGAGGGGAAGGGCCTTAGGCTCTCCCCTGCTCCTCTCCCCCCCTACCCATGTGAGCTCTACTCCACCACACCGGGAGGTAGGACCCCAGCATGAGGATGGGGTTGTCCCTTGAACAGAACGATGGCCTCAGCTGCCCCATCTCTGCCTAATTAATTTAGGCAGCTCCTTCCTGAGCATGTTCCTTCCCAGGCTTTCCACCTTGCAGCTTGCTCCTTGTGGGCATGGGCACCTGCTTTGGCCACCAGATCCAGGCAGGCCTATGGGATGGTCACTTCCCTGGCAGGCCAGAGTGGAACTGGAAAAGGGAAACCCAAAGCTTCGTAGGAAGATGCTGCTAGAAGTCAGGGCCAGCGTTGCCCGGTGGCACTGAGGGGAGCAGGCAGAAGCAGGGCCTGGTGCTTGCACGGCTGAGGAGTGGGCTGCTGGTAGTGCTGCTGGGCTGGTGGCTGCAGCACTGGTCCCTCCGGGCTTGGTCATGTCTGGACACAGCTGGCTGGAGGAAGCGCGGGGGCTAGCGCCAAGAAGTCTTCTCTCAGCTAAGTTCAGCAGCCCGGGGGGAAGGAAGGTTCTGGGTGGCATGGCTGCCCCCAGGGGTACCCTAGGCCTGCCCTCTTGCCCCTTTTCAGACCCCTGCCAAAGCCCCTGGTTCAGCTGCCCAGCAGGTCCTTTTCTTTGCTGTATGTCCTCAGGGTAGCGTGTGCCCTGTCCTTGAGTTGGGCACGTTTCAGCTGAGCTGCAGGTGCCCACCCTGAGTGCTGGCTCCATCACGTGCCTCTGATACGCTTATCCGGGGCCGGGGAGCCGGGCCAGGTGCCGGCAGGGCCGTAGCAGGTGTGGGTTGCGTGATGTGTTCGTGGTGCTCTGGGCTCACTGCTGGAGCCTGGCAGGGACCCAGAGTGGGTGCTGGGCTGCAGGGACAGCATGTAGGGAA